CCAGTAAATTTGACAGCCCGGTCTGCAATCACTCGTTCGGATTTACAAAATGTTACTGCATTTTATTAGAAAGATTTGTTACCAATGAACACTCAAAATTCCAAATTACAGTCAATTCGATTCAAAAACGTGCCCCATGTACAAAATATTGGATTACCGTTATATAGCGATTATATCAAAACCTAGACCGATAAGATGAATGAATGAGATAGCAATGATTTTCATAATTGAAATTTTGGCGTTTTTATTTTCTCTCGCCCAGTGAAACACTGGCAAGAGTCGAGTGTTAAATTTCAAAAGAGAATTCACTCACAATATTTCTTGCAGAGAGGTAATCCTGTTAAGAGGTTCACTCATTAAAAAAACAGAGGGTTGTTTGGCGGCGGTGGTGTTGTTGTTATTGGCTAGATTCTTGCCGTACAATGTTAATGATGATGATGTTGGTAATGACTTTTGGTTTGTTTTTTTTTTTACATTTGAATTAAGCCGGTGGTTTTTTTAGTAGACACATTTCCCCCAAATCAAATGTTGTAGTTGTAACCCAATAGGAAAAATGAAACGGGGGGAAGCATTTAAAAAACAATATTAAATATATTTGAATTAAATAATACAATATTTTTAGCATACACCACGTGCACGTGCTTTTTTTCTCTTTGTTCCAATCATGAATTTCTCTTTTTATAGAGTATCCTTTTTAAGGGTATTTCCAGGATACTCACTGCCAATTTTGTTTGGGCGCATCTTTCCACCACCATTTGAAGAAAACTCTGTGCTTCTCTAAAAAAAAATTATTTGACATTCTCTCTCTCTCTTCGACATTATGTTGTGGCACATTACGTTTTGTTTTTTCTTGCTGCCAACAAATGCTGATGCAAGTTTTATAACAGAATGTCATCATCAATTCTTCAATGGGCGGGCGTCTTAACAAAAACTCTTTTTGTTTCTTCACTTTTCGTATGTTTACCCGTTCGTTCGTCTTACATGTGGTTTGTTTATTTATTTGTGTGTTCGTGAGAAATGTTTGTGCATAGTTAATTTTCCCCCCTTTTCCCGCTGAGTGTTGTATTTCAGTTTGTGTGTTGTTTGTTGTTCTTGTTGCTATTGTTGTTTGTGCCAAAAAAGTTTAAAATATAAACTTTATGAAGACGAATCGAAGAAGCACATGCTTTGTGGATGCGAGATGCCTGATACAATGAACTTAACGAAAACCAATGTCTAGACGGCATACATACTAACATACGCAGTTTGTACTCTATTATTGGCATTTGTGTTAGAAGTATGATGTTATAGAAAAAGCAAGTAAAAAAGTTCGGATTGTTCGACTGGGCATAACTTTCAGGACCTTTATAATATAACAAAACCTTTTTAGAATTCTTCCTCTGAAAAAATATACATTGAAATTTTGAACCCTATTTAGAACTAGAAATGTCATTCTGCACCAAAGTTTAAGCCAACAAACTCCCTATGTAATGTGTAAAAGATGGGATCGAAATTTAGGAAAGATGCTAAAACAGTACCGATTTTTTTCCAAGAAAATATATTAATTGGAAAGACAACATACTCAACATTTTTCCAAACGAAGTGATTGTAATTTATCATTCCGGGTTCTTGGAGAGTGGAAAACATACTTTCAGAAAATGTTCGATATATGTTCTTATTTTGACACAGTCCCATATGAAGGGCCATCAAAGTAGCTGTAATTTGGCATTCCGGGTTCATGGAGGGTAAAAAACATACTCGCGGAAAATTCTTGATATTGGGATGTACAGAATGAAGTCCGGAAATTAAACCAACGAGTAAAACGCCAAACTGAAGGATTTGGTGCAGGCACATCCTCCTGTAGAGATGAAGAAGGAAACCTGGAAGGAGCATTTTGCAAAGCTTTTGGTATCAAATAGTGGCGGTGAAAAAGATACCTCAGAACCAATAAGAAATGACTGTATGAAGCGTATACCTCCTAGCCAATATGAGGTGAGAATAGGAATAAATCGGCTGAAGATTAATAAAGCAGCAGGTGCCGATGAATTACCATCTGAACTATTCAAGACCCGTGGTCAGATGCTGGCCAGGAGAATGCACCAGCTGGTTAGTACTAGAGCAATGCATGCACAATGATTATAACAAAAAAATTACACAATACGATATGTGCCAACTATAGAGAAATAAGTATCCTTCCCGTCGCATATAAAGTGCTATCCAGCATGCTGTGTGAACGACTGAAGCCAATGATCAGTGACATTATTGGACCATACCAATGCGGCTTCAGACCTGGCAAATTCACCATAGACCAAACTTTTACTCTCCGTCAAATCCTGGAAAAGACCCATGAAAAACATATCGACACATTTCACCTGTTCGTCGACTATAAAGCCGCATTCGACAGCCCTATCCGTTCAGAGGTACTTAAAGCCATGTCTTTCTGCAAAATTAATACGGCTATGCAGGATAACTTTAACTGGCACAAGATCAGCAGTTAAAGTCGGAAAGGACCTCTCGGAGCCCTTTAATACCGAACGAGGATTCAGACAAGTCGACAGTTTGTGGTGTGACCTGTTTAACATCATGCTGGAAAAGGTCATACAAGATGCAAATGTGAACTGAAATGGCGTTCTGAACACCAAACACCATATATTACTCGCCGGCGACATCGACATAATGGGTCGAACATTGCGAGCGGTAACAGCCACCTTTGAACGAATTGAGAAGGAGTCCGCCAAGGTGGGACTGGCAGTAAATGGCGAAAAGACGCGCAAGACGTCCAGTAGACTCGGACCAACTGTGGAACTTGAAAACTACAGCTTCGAGATAGTGAACGATTTTTATATACATCGGTATCGCCATAAACAAAACTAATAACATCAGCTATGAAATCCGGAGAAGAATAGTATTGACCAACATATGCTGATATGGTCTGAGTAAGCAAATTAAAAGCAAGGTCACCTATCGCTAGACAAACTCACACTTTACAAGACGCTGATAATACCCGTGCTGTTGTAAGGATCTGAAGCATGGGTACATGCGCAAGCAGATAAGGCAGCTCTTGGAATGTTTGAGAAAAACATTTTCGTCGTCGAGTGAACCATGGACCATCTATTCTCGGACATTGCCATAGTCATACGGATCGAGCTGCAGCGCCTACGTTGGCTACGACATGTTGCGAGATTGGATGAGGATGCCCCAGTTCAAAAGGCATATAAAAGCGAGTCAAGTGATGGTTCGCGCAGAAGATGGAAAAATAAAGTTGAAGACAACATCTCGGCTTATGGAACAACCGTTCTATCACAAGTTAGTTAAGTAAGTATATTCAGAGGTTCCCGCGAGTGAATTTAGCTTAGTATTAAATTCTGAACCGCCTTCTGCATAGAACTTCTGAAACTTGTCATCAATCCGCCATTAATACGATTAGCTACTGTGACTGCATTTCGAACTGCATTATTTTCTATCGAATATTGGTTGTACATACTCCGACCTTTTCCACTATGAGTATAATTTAGTGTAGCTCAATTTTTATTCGACGTCTGTTCAAAATTTTTATATGTAGGGTCGTTGGCTAAACATGTGCTCGATTTGTTGCATCATAATTTGACACAAAATTATTAAGAATTAAATTACCGGCGATTTTTTATAACTTGAATTTTTTTTGTTATCTTTGGAATAAAATACCAATTTTGTGGAATACGGAGGTGCCTTCATGGAATTACATTTAATTACTTGCCTATTTTTGCAAGTCATGAAATTTTGTTGTTATTGTTGTTTACAAAAAAAAAACAAAATGATTCATTTGATTGTCATGCACAATGCAATTTCATTTATTTTTAGATAATAAAACGGCAGATATCTATCCCTGCATATAGGTGAAATGATGACGTCATTACAATCAGATTGGGCATTTATTTGAAATTGATGAAATTAAATGTTGCAAAACTGTGATTTTGAACATGAAACATGTTGAAAAGAAATTGTATCGCAACCAGGTATGAAACGAAATGTTGGTAAACAACTGTTAGTGCAACATGTTGGCATGAAAATGTATCAGAAACAGGGATGGAAAATCCATACCAAATTGTGAAGATTTTTTTTTTCGAAATTGGACAAAAGATATTTTTAGACAAAAATTACTGAATTACGAACATTTTGGAGGACTTTTGGATGATTATAGAATATTTTTGAGAGACTATTAGAGCCATAAGCGATTTAGGTATACAAGCGTGGTATTATAAAAGAATTCGGGCTATAAAAAATAAATTCGGGTGTTAAAATATATTTTCTAAGGGTCAATTAGAGTTTTAAGTGTATTTTCATTAAAAATGTGCTCTGATTGACCATTTTTGGCTATTTTAGCCTAAGGGACTTTTTGACCTATAAGATGAATTTATAAGTATTATATTTAAGGGACTATTTTAGATATAGGGGTCCATTTCAAACAATAGTTTTTTGGGGATTATAAGACCTAAAAGCGAAGCGTATTCACGGACTATTAGGACCGACCATAAGCGTAGATTTTTAATTAATAAATATTCACAGACTATTAGGACCATAGGTGTGGATTTTTAATAGATAAGAATAGAGGATCTTTTAGAGCTATACGTGTGGATTTTAATGCATACTTTTTTAGAGTCTCGGGTTTTAAAGATTGCTTTTGGAGGGACTATTAGAACTTAGAGTTTTGATTTTTTAAAATACTTTTGAGGGTCTACTAGACCTATAAGCGTGGGTTTTAAATACATAATATTTGGACTATTAGACCCATTCTTAATGACTATTTTTGAGGGATTATTAAAAAATTCTACTTGTGGGCCTATTAGACACATAACCGTGGATTTAAAAAAAAATTGAGAGACTATTAGACCTATTTCCAGAATTATACATTTTTGGGTCTTTTAGATCCATTAACGTGGATTGTTAATGTTTATTTTTTGGGTAGGACTATTGGACTAATAACAGTGTATTTTTTACGTACGACAGAACATTTGTTTAGTAAGTCGAGCTTATAAAGAGTTCTAGGCGCGTCGCTCTTGTGCGTAACTCATCCAATCTGAAAGACCATGTTTCGAAATGTTCTCTTCCACTTGGGTTTTCCATCCACTTCGTGACCTTCTCCTTCTGCGAGAACCATCAGTTGGTTCGCTTTTATATGCCTTTTGTGCTAGGGCATCCATGACTAAGCCAACGTAGTCGCTGAAACTCCATACGTCTGACAATATCCGAGAATAAATGGCACAACTTATGGTTCATTCGTCGGCGACCGGCTCATAGATCTTTCTGAGAATTTTTCTCATAAACAGTCCAAGAGCTGCGTCACCTTTTTGCGCAAGAACCCATTCTTCTGATTCATATAACAGCCAGGGTAGAGTGTGAGTTAGGTCTGGCGGGAGGTTGCCTTGTTCACAGTTAGTCCCTCTCAATTCGTTTAAAGGTGACTGTTACCGCTCGCAATGTTTGACCCCACATATCATCGTCGTAGGCGAGTAACATTTGTTGTTTGGTGTACAGAGTACCATTTCTGTTAACCTTTGCGTCTTGTATTACCTTTTCCAACTGGATATTAAAAATATCACATGACAAACTGTCACCTTGTCTGAATCCTGGTTCGGTATTAAAGGACTCCGACCTATCGGAGGACTCCGACCTATTTAGACTTTATTAATTTTGAAGGAATGCCAAACGCAGACATTGCTTTAAACACCTCTCAACGGTTAGGGCTGTCGAATGCGGCTTTATAGTCGACGAATAGGTGGAATGTGTCGATGTGTTTTCGTGGGTATTTTCCAGGATTTGACGCAGAGTGAAAATCTGCCAACTCCTTATGCACTTTTACCCAACTCTTCAGTCATGACTATCACATATGTTAAACTTTCTTTCTCTTCCTTCTTGTTCTACTTTAAGCAACAATTCTTACCTTAGTAAAGCTTTCTATATATACATTAAACTATAAATAAACTTGTAATTTATTTCATGACCCCATCACCTACTTTTTGCCAATTATGTGGATTTTTAAAGAAAATTATTTCGGGCATATTGGATATGAGTCCATATGATTGAAATATATAATTGTGTAAATTATATATACCATTGTATTTCAATAAATAGCATTACTAATAGTAATTTTAAATGTCCAAGCATATTTTAAACCATTTTTATCAATATGATGTTTGGGTGGAAATTGAATACTAATGATGGAACCATTTAACTCCCACTGCAATAAAAGAAAAACAACAACAAACATTAAATGACATATTTCTCTATAAAAAAATAAATAAGTAAACATACCTTAATATCTGTATCCTCCATACCCAGCATAACAATTGAAGAAATATTATTATTCAATAGATCAAGACCAACCAAGTGTACGTCTGGGCCATCGTGATATTGATTTCCCCATGGATAAATATTCAAACTGTTGCTGTCGTATGGATACTCTAATACCATGGCATAAATAACAATTTTGTCCTGCACGTCCTCCTTACTCCTTGTATACCAAACGCCCGGTGTTATTGTATCATTTTGTTGAGACCATGGCGTGGTGGCATAAATTGCCTCACCATTCACCTTCAGCCATTGTCCCAAATCTCGTAAACGTTCTTCGAAAATTGGTAATATTGTACCATATTTTGTTGGACCCACATTGATGAGGACATTACCATTACAACTGACAGTGGTAATAACTTCGTGTATCACCTCTTCACTGGTCATAAAGTCTTTTAAAGTCAAATCGAAACGTTGACCCCAGCTGCTTTTGTCCAATGTAAATGCATTTTCCCATTTGTGTTTTTGCAACACACCAGGATTGTAACGATCCTTGCAGTTATAGAAATCTCCGTGTAAGCAGGCGGTGCCAATGCCCCAGCGATCATTTGTTACCACAGTATCGCGCACCGGACTATCATTGTAGAGCCTGAGTGGGGAAAATTAATTTAATAAAATCACATTAATATTTCAAAATGTCGTTATATATATATATAGAGTTCTCCTAAATCATTAGAATGAAAACGGACCAAAATGACGAACTAAATCGAAAATTGATTTATTTTTCAGACCAGTGAAACACCATGAAGCACCAAGTTTTTCCATTCCTCGTCGATATTTGCCCGGTAGGCATTCTGGGCCGGTCTTAATGATTATACAATTCAGTTAATACAAACAAACAAAAATCATAAAAATCGTTAGGAGTGATGCGCCCCTCATCGGTGTTTACGTAAACAGTCAAAATTGTCGTAAGTGGGACTCGGAAAATGCAATAGTTTTTTTTATTATTGAGAAGCCTTCACTTCCTCAATCATCTTGAGAGATTAGGCCCATTTTCACCTCGGTATCGCACCAGAGGCTCAGAAAGCCCTGGTTTTTAAAACCTCTCTTGTACTAATGACATCTTCAGAAGAAATTGTCTATATAGGTTCATGTTCTGGCATATGCGTCTATGTCATTTAAAGTATTTTTGAGGTCCTAGTCGCATTTCCAGCCGAAGTGACATATATAATTTCACATACCGGGTTCGTCGTGGGTAGAAAACTTCTTCGCGGAAAATTTCAATATATGTCACCCAGGGTGACCAGCCTCTTAAGTTTGCTGTCAAAATCCATTATTGTGAATTGACTTCCATTATGGAAACATAAACAAAGACCAAGGCCTATAAATCGGAAAACAGCTGTTTTTTTCAAGTCTAATGTCAAAAATTTCGAATTTGTACAAATTTTCATAATGTTGTTCGTTTACCCAAAAGTCCAGTAAAAGAGAGTGAATTGAGAGAGCAGATTTGACAGTTGAGTATTTGCAAATTCTATAGGCCATGAGGAAAATTTACAAAGTCCAAGGAATATTTAAGGTCACACTGGCATCAGCTGATATTTAATCAGCTGTTTTCTCAAGTTTTGTAAAAAACAAAAAATTGACTTCCATTAGAAAATTGATTGTTTACACACAAAATTTTGATTTTGTATCATTAAGAGACCAAACAAAATGGAAGTTCCCTTTTAAATGTTTGTGGAGAACAAACAACATCAATTTTCCGCTTGTTATCCATTTTTCTAATAAAAATGCCGTTTTTTTATTTTGCGCCAATTTGTTTGTTGTTTTGATCAGCTTTTCAAATTATTTTGTACTCTGAGAGAAATTTTGAAATGTTTCCCTTTTACTAGATTTACTATTAAAAAAGTACTGGAACAGACCAATAAATTTTTGATATTAGACTAGAGAAAAAAACAGCTGACTTTCGCTATCTGGGTGACTTTATTAATAGATCTTGAAAAATCCATTCCAAGACCTATAAAAAGCTCATCCAGGCTACCTCTCAATATTGCTGTTAAGATCCATTACTGTGACTTGACTTCCATTATGAAAACGTAAACAAAAGCCAAATATTTGACATTGAACTTGAAAAAACTCCTGACTTTTGCTTGCTGGGTGACCTTATTAATAGATCTTGGTCCATTCCCATTGATTAGAAATAGGGCTGACTTTTGCTAGCTGGGTAGTCTTATTATTAGATCTTGCTTGATTAAAAAAAAACAGCTGAATTTTGCTAGCTGGGTAGTCTTATTAATAGATCTTGCTTGGAAGAATTTGCAAATTATTGATTAAACAAACGAACCTAATACATTAAACAGATTTCTTTATTCTGAATGTCATACTCACCAGGCTATAAATTCTTCAGATTTCCAATATTTTGCTGGAGCTTCCCAATCACCATCTGACCAAATTATCTCCGGTAAATATTCTTGCACCAGATACATTTGTTCAGGGCGGGCTTTTTGATTTACATAGTCTTGGGTAAGGAATATGTGTAGCTTATCCTTGATATACAAACGATTAAACCATTCGAACAGGGAATAATAGAGGCCAAATTTCAGTTTAGTGTTTTGGCGTATTGCTGTGGCTAGTTCTCCTAGAATTAAATATAATAATCAATTTCAAATTCTAATTCCACATAAAATTTGAAAATTACTAATAATATCCCTTTTAGGTCCTACGTCCATGGAATTCCAACCAAATGACTGCATCGATGGCCAAAGACAATAACCATCATGATGTTTGCTGGTCAATACCACATATCTAGGAGAAAAACCCCAAGAGAGTTATTTTTTAACCAAACGTACTAATTGTTATTGTTGTACTCACTTTGCACCACTGTCTTGAAACAAGAGAGCCCACTGGGTGGCATTAAAAAGTTCAGCGTTAAAATCATTTGCAAATTCTTGATAAGAAAAGCCGGGTTTATAATTCTTATCCATAAATTCAATATAATTTTTGTATTTTAAATCTGCATTTAAATTAATTATACAAAATTTATTATTCACAATTTCAAAATACCGCAGCTACTTACTTTTCCAATCGGTCCAAAACCATTCGGAGCCCATACTTGGTACTGAGTACACACCCCAGTGTATAAAAATACCAACCTTTGCCTCATCATACCATGTCGGTAGTGGCCTTTTATCTAAACTTGCCCAATTTGGTTCATATTTGGTACGATACTTCTTTGAATTTGCTACCGCAAAAACTGCAATAATAATTGTAAAACAGAATTTCCAAAAATTCTGCGCCTCCATTAATGATGGTGCTCCAGCTTGTTTACTTTCCGGCGTTTGTCTCTATACTATTCGTGTTGATTGTCAATTGTTATTTGTTTTGAGCTCTTCTCTCAAGTCGCAATTTGTATTTGTTTGTTTTTTTTTCCTTTGGCGTTAATTGATATCGCACAGTAGCCTCCGTTTATATCGGAGCACATTTAAAAAAGTGTGTTTGAAACTCATTTTTTTAATAGATTTATAAAATGGTAACTTACTGTATAGTACCTTAATGAATACTTTTTGAGGTATTATTTGACAATTAGGCGTAGATTATAAAATTTTTTTTGGGACTAATACTCATAATCGTGGTTTTTTAAAAAATACGTTTTAAGAGTTTTTTAAGAGAAAAAATATAAAAATTTTTAAAGAAATAATTGAGTTTTCAAAGCATATTTTTTGAGGAACTATTTGATGTGTAACCATGGACTTTTAATGAATACTTTTTAAGGGTCTATTAGACCTACAGGCAAGGAGACTTTTTGAGAGACTAGAGAGAGACTATTTTTGGGGCAATTTTTTGACTATTAGATGGATTTTTATATACGAGGCGTTTCGGAAACTTTTTAGCATATTAATGAAAGAGAATAGTTTGTTTTTCAAAAATATTTTTATTTTTCAATATAATCTCCTTATATTTTAAATTCGTCACAGTTGCATATGTTTTTTGTTCCAGCTAAAATCGAGCTATCCATTTTATCAATAAATTTTAAAGCAAAATACCAAACATGTCTGGGGAAATTACAATTAATTCAGTTGAACCTAAAGCGTTCAAAAAATACCATGTTGACATATTTTTTTTAACTTCAAATAAAGAGATTACTAAATATTTCGACATATTCAATTTCAGTTGCAAATGTTTTGATCACCACCGTATATATGGAAGCTTTATCTAAATCTGAGTCCATTTCAACGCACACATCATTATACAATCAGTATGATTAGCTCTATGCTGAATTTCGTGTAAATCGAAATAAATATAGGGGCTTTAGTGGTCCATTTACAAACATATGGGAGCTATATCTGAATCCATTTTCATCAATTTAATTGGGCTCGTCCTTGGGCCAAATTAATGAGTTATAGAAAATTTCATCCAAATCGGATCATAAATGCGACCTGTACTTTGTTTACAATTTACATCAACAGACGGACGGACGGGCATATTCGGCATTTATTCTGATGCCAAAGTCGATTAATACGAGCGGAGAGGGGCCATCGAAAGAAATCACACTATCACGCTTGAATACCATCACGAATAACTTTTTTTCTGGAAAATTCTCACCTAAATCCTTCTGTACGCTTGTAAACAATAGAAAGAGCTGTCACTGGAATACTTTTAACAGCTGTCGGACGAGTGGCTTAGAGATGACAGCAGTCTGAAGTTGATTGCAATTTTTTCATCTCACCCTGTACATAATAATAATTTACTTGAGTTCCGTTCCAGAACCTAAAAGAATTTTGCAAGTTTTGCAACTTTTTACTCGTAAACCGTTCCTGAACCCACAAAGCTGGTAAAACATTGAATCAAATTTAAGAGAGCACAAAACAAAATGTCGTTCTCTCTGTAAACTTTTTACTCGAGAAATTTGGCCGAGTAAAAGTAGTAAACAGGAATGCCTACTTCTGATTGGCTGTTATATTGATTTTGAAGTATGTATTGCCATCTAATTTTGGCATATTTACTAGATATGCGTTTCCGAACTTTTCCAGTTATTTTGTACTTTGAGAGCGATTTTGAAATGTTTCCCTTTTACTAGTTTTACTATTAAAAAAGTACTGGAACAGACCATTGATCAGTAAAAAATTAAACTGATCAAATCATGACAGCTCCGAAAGAATTGAAATATGGTGCCTTTTAAACGCAGTCACGTATTGCTTCCAAATAATGGTAACTTTTTGGCATTTATAGAATCTTGGGCAGGTTTTCCAAACGAATTGGATCATTTGGATTTAGGTATTTTGAAGACAACAAAAATGATCAAAATGTTGTCCGTCTAGGTATAGCTTCCATATAAAGGTGAAAAAAAAAACAAAGAAATTTTACCAACCCATGAATATTAAAAAAATAAAAAAACAATTAGGGTCAGTCTCGTCCCCCCTTCCGAATTTTCAACGACCCAACTTTACACACATAAATAGCGAATAAACAACAACGCATTTTGTATAAATTTATAAATAAGTATTTTTTATTAAATATTAAAACCAAATAATGTAGGTAGGGAAGTAGAAGAAAACTTTTTTCTGATTGGTATTCCAAAACATCATTATAATCAAAGATTACAGGTCAATATAAACAATTATATCGGTTTTTCACATTCCAAAAATAAAAACTGACTCCATAAAACTATTTTCCAATGTATGAATTATGAAATATACGGGTATGTTCTGAAACTCACGGTGTGTTCTTTTTACTTCATACATACACTTCACCTCAGAAGTTACGTACTGTTCTGCATCCCTCGTGAATTGAAATTTTCGAACTGCGACAAAAATAAATGCAGAAATAGTGTTGCCATACAATATAAACTGTATTCGTTTTTAACATTGTTTCTGTTATTTTTTAGTAATTTCGTAAATTCTAACAATAATTTTATTATTATTTTTTAATATTTTATTATTCGCAACATAAAATATTTGTATGAAAGACTATTTAATATCATTAATTAGTTGATTGATTTAAGGGGAACATTTGGTAACCCTATCTGGTACGATCTTATTACAAATCAGCTGTTTGTGTCAAGTGAGAGATTCATTCGGTATAAATGCAAACCAAACCTAATTATCTATTTAAAACTAGGTTTTAAAGGCGTTTTATCGTAATTTTGTGATTTTAAACAAATTATACGCAATAATAACATATTAATCTATCATCATGTTCCTCATATTTTTCAAAGAAAAAAGATTTTCTTTTATATAGAAAACATGAATACACCCACATGGGGTGTAAAGTGTGTTACAGAACACCTCGGCGTGTGTTCGATATACTTCTGCCGTTGAAGTAAATGCCAGAACATGCCCTAAAATTTCATCAATTTTACTCTTTAAAGCCGATTGCCAAGACTTTTTTCTCTAAGTATTTTTGGCCCGCAAGACTTTAAGGGACTTTTTAGTTACTTAGATGTTAGAAACATTTTTTCAGCTGTTTCAATTTATGAAATAGATTTATTGAAGCCAGTTTAAGACATTTTTATTGGTACATACGAAAGCCTCTCTACATTCTCCCTTCGTCTACAAATAAATATTATTTTTGTAATTATTTGTATAATACAATAAACATATACATATATGAAAATATTTGTTAATAAAGTAAATTTTAAGTTTTTTGTAATTAATATTATAAAAAATGGTCGGTGATTGTGTTACATATATAAAAGGTATCAAATGTTGATGTTTCTAATAATAAAAGTTAATATTGGAATGAAATTTGTTATTAATATAAAATGTATTTTTGTTTTGTATTTTTTGTAATTTATTTTTTTCATTTCAACAAAAGTAACAAAAATCAATGACAAAAGAAATCATCTATAATATGCAATACTAATAAATACTGTTAATAAAACGGCAAACTGGTTAAAAACAAGATCTATTTTCAATTTAGAAAAGAAATAGAAATTTAACATCGTATAAAGGTGTATTTTTATTTTTGTATATAATTTTTTTATTAACTATTGTACATGAGATAGATTTAAAAAATGTTGCAGTAGTAGTTTTTTTATTTTGTAAATAACATCAATGAAATCTGTTATACTTAGAGTATATTATTTTTCAGTGTTAATTTGCTTATGCTGTGTGTGTATATGTGATATTTAAGCAGTTATTAAACATTTATAAAAAACTGGTGGTTTTGTGATTGATTGCTATTTTCAAGTAGTGATGATGTATATCTGGAACTATTGTTATTGCTTGTTGTGACACTGTATATAAAAAAAACTTGTATAAATATTTTTAAGATGTAGTTGTATAGGAAAATTATCCGATAACACGAGTTTAAAATTAATAAAAAAAAAACAAATTATGGTCTGCAGGTTTTAATTTTAGAAAAAAATTTACAACATGTGGCAGGAAAATACTAAAATCATGTGGTCTAGATTCATTATTGAAAATATGAACGGTTATATACTCAATCATTTGTATGAAAACCTACTTAGCTGTATGAAACTTCAATTTGATGGTACGTGTGCATGCATGCATCTTGACACTAAGTCATTTGAAATTTTTAACCACTGAAAACGCAAAATGTCATTTTAGATTGTTGTAAATATATATATATATATATATATATATAATTGTATCCCGGTCTACTGGTTTGACATAAAAAATGAGACAGATCAGATAATGAGAATGACTTTCAATAAAAATTAAATTAAACAAATGAAATAATAGGAAAAAAACTGGGAAAATCGTGTTATCAAATAACATGTGGCTGGCGGCATTGAATAAAAATGAAAATCAATAATAATTGTATTAACAGGTAGTATTATTTTCGGCGTTTTCTTTTCTTTCGTTCACTTAAGGTAGTCAAATAACTGTGTTGTTAACTTTTGTTGATAATCAATGATTTTAAGTTTAGTTATTAGAAATAAAGATATACGATTTATGATTAATGGACGTTAAACGTACAATTGAAAGAAGCTAAAAAAACATGATATATGACTAAGTTACAAATTATAAAAAGTTTTTTACTTCTTCTACACTTAATGGCAGTTATAATGTTTTCGTCCTTGGGTTTCAATATGATTTTTCTTTTAATTTCTATACAAAAATAAAGGAGTTTTTGTTAATTTTGTGAAACTTTACAAAAAACGTTCTTTGGTCAATATTATAATTTTATAAAAGAAAATATATGTCTCAGAAATATTAATGCCAAAAAATAAATTTCCACATAATATTTTTCTATTTGAAGCCATTACTTATCGATTAAGTTTATCACACATAAACATTAATCAAATAAAAAATTCCCCAGAGATTTGGATGTGTCCCAAGCAAACCTCTTATGGCTTCAAATAGATGAACCGTCAGTGTTCTTCTGGTGGTGTACGAAATTGTGTAATCCAATCGGTAACACGTAAACGAAATATTTCAGTTTTTGTCAAAATCCAATCACGATATTGGTGGGGTATCGATTCAACAAGTTTTTCAGCAATTTCAGGATTTTTAAACATAATCATATAGATGAGGACAATATTGAAGGCGACCATTAGAAGGAAAATCATTAATGATGTTAAAGCAGTGCTTGTGGAGTTTGTGGCAGATGATGATGATGAACCTTTAATTGTTCCATTAGCAGACTTTTTCGATTTTGTTGCCTTCGCAATGGTTATATTGTCATTTGCTCCCATAACGGAAGATGTAGCAGTACTATTCTTATTCGATCCATCTGATCCATTGCTGTTTGTTTTCTTTTTTGATTTGGATTTTTTGTTCTTTTTTGTTTTTGATTGTTGCTCGCTGTTGTTGTTGGGTGTATCCTCTTCATTATTTTCTTTATCATTATTGGCCATTTGTTTTTGTAAAATTTCTAGACGATATTGTTCTTTGGCCTTAATAGCTTCAATTTGCATATCAGACATGAATTTTACCTAAAAAATAAATTAATATATTTGATTATTTTAAGTTCGTTTAATTGTTATTTTACTCTTTTACCGTTCTCTTGGCCGAATCCTGACATTCTTTCATTGTCATATTTATACCAACAATTTTTGCCAAGGCCGGCGTCAATGGATTTCCTTTTAAATCCAAATAGCGCAAATTGGTCAAATCGCCAAAACTAAGAGGCAAGTGTTCCAATTGATTGTCATATAAATCCAAATGACGTAAATTTCTCAAGAGGCCAAAATCATCGGGTAAGAATTTAATTTGATTTTTACTCAAATCCAATTTAACCAAACGTGTTAGCGTGGTAAAGTTTTTCTGTAATTAAAAAAATAGACATTTTGTTATACAATTGCATTAAAATTGCCTTAAGCGCTTTAGATAATTTTGAGTTTATTAAAGGAATTTTTAATTTTATGATTTCGAACATTCATGCTATAAGGTCTTGCATGAAAAATAGAGACTTAGTCATTTTATTTATTTCAATTCCATGACCTTAAGACGAGGGTTTAAATTTACTTAATCCTCTTAAAATATTTTATTAAAATTACCATGCAATTTGAAAAAAATGTGAGGGATCGGAACTACTGAAATGTTTTCAATACATTTTGGTATAGGTTTTTATTTATAAAAAAAACGGTCACGACGGACTTTCGACTTTTCCTAATTGGTTTTAAATATTTTGTTTTAATTAGAAATTTTTATTACATTTTATACTTACCCCTAGGGACATTAAAAGATTACTGGACAAATCCAAAACATTTACACGTTTAAATGATGCCTGAAAATTAATAGAAAAAATTATAAATGGATTTAAAAAGTTTAGTTTAACTTTGTTGTATGATAAAAAAATTGGTACTATTGGTCTGAGAGATTACTTTGAGAATATGCATAAAATAATTCCCTAAGTCGATTTATGGAAGTCCGTCTGTCCGTGTATTCTTGTGAACAAAGTACAGGTCCTATTTAAGATTCGATTTGGATTGAAATTTGGCAAAAGTCAAGGAGAAAATGGTTCAGGTTTAGATATAGCTCACATATATCTGTCGATTTCATTTAAATAGTGCACCAAAGAGCCCATGTTTGTTCGATTTACACGAAATTGTACTTAACGTACCTAATTAAGTTTAGATTGATGTGTATTAAGTTTGCTTGAAATTGAATCAGATTTAGATATAGCTCTCTTACATATTTTCATCCGATTTTATGTAAATAATACAGTAGTCTTTTTTTTTGTCCGATTGAGACGAGATCTTGTGTAGCGTATTGATCTGAGTCTAGAATGTTGTGTGAAGGGTTTTGTTGAAATCGGTTAGTGCACCAAAGAGCCTATGATACTCGAAATTTAGCTCAGCATGTTGAATTGAGTCTAGAATTACGTGGGTTAATTTTTTGTTGAAATCGAATATGTATTTTCTTCCGATTCTATGAAAATGGTACACAAAAGTCCAAAAAATATGCAATGTAGAACCAATATTTCGATGATGCATATTTTAGCCGTATAAGAATTTATATAGCCTCATTACCCATAAATTGAGGGAATTCAAATTTTGATTCTGCCACGGCCACATATCGTGCTTTATGGGGAGATTATGGAGATTATAATCGTCCAACTACGGGTGTGTACATAAACAAATTGTGGTATTTGGTGTTCGGAGAATCAAACCTCAAGTAATTAAAGAGAGGCCATTACATCCAGAAAAAGTTACTGTTTGGTGCGCTATTTGATCCGAAGGTGTAATTAGTTTTTCGAAAATGACTATTGAGCTCTTTGGTCCGAGTGTGTAATATCAATTTGAAGCTTTATGGTGATATGATAACCGACCTTCATTTTGGGTGCAATTAAGGAATTCGACATGGAAAATATGTGGCTTCAACATGCCACACAACTCGAGCGAATCTGTTTTTATTGTAAGACACATTTCCTGATCTCGTAGATAATGCGATTTCAGACCATTAAACTCCTTGTACATTAGCACTTTTTTACCGGGTTAACCTACTTTATGAGGATTTATTGGACATATATGCAAAGGAAATGACAATTAAAACCCACTGGGTTAACGAAATCTGGTTAAATGTAAACGTACTATTAGACTTTTTAAACTCCTTGTACATTAGAACTTTTTACCGGGTTAATCTACTTTATGAGGATTTATTTGACATATATGCAAAGGAAATGACAATTGAAACCCACTGGGTTAACGAAATCCGGTTAAATGTAAACGTACTGTTATGGGGCAGTTTTTATTATTTATTTTATTAACTCTTAAAAAAGAACATACGTCATGTTTATGGCTTAGATACCGACAATGTGTGTCAAAAACTGGTCAAAATTTACCTCGAAAGAATCTATAGAATGAATGGAATCTGATAATAATCCCGCAGTAAACCGCTCATGTTCTTATTTAAGTCATATATGTATGGTATAAGGTACTTATATTTTACGCCCACTTTCCTATCCATAATCTCTTTAATATATCCTGGCTAACCTATGAATAATCTCGCAGATAATAGTCCCGCAGTAAACCGCCTTCGAAAATACACGTTTCCCCTTCATGTTCTTATTTAAGTCATATATGTATGGTATAAGGTACCTATATTTTTCGTCCATTTTCGTATTTATAATCTTTTTAACCCTTTCAGTGTAAAAAAATTTGTCGGAATAAAAATCTAAAATTTTGTATTTAAAATCATATATAGGGGCATAGTTTAGAAAAAATAGCATTTGTCATTTTAACCCTCGACCAGTTTCGTCTGTCTTTCAGCAAAAACAAAAACATCAATAGCAATGATATAGAGGATAACAGAAAAATCGCAAGTAAAGAGAGTACTTTTAAATGTCGAATATATTCGACAAAAACACTGAAAGGGTTAATATATCCTGGCTAACATATGAACCTGCCAATAACAGCATAGGTCTATAAAATTCTAAAGGCTTTTGATCTCCTATTTCAGAATCAGCCAATATCTAATCTTATGTTTACTCTTGTTTATAGTGTGTCGTTTAATAAAACATCTTTCGGTCCTGTATCAAAACTAACCGTCATTATCACAACTTGAGTTAATGCTGTAATCACATACTCGTATTTAGTCTTATCGAACAAAATCCAATTAATCGCGAATTGCATCTCGACACGAATATACATCATGTTTTCTGGCAATTTGCCCACATCTTCAGCAGACCCTTCCATTCCATTCCTCTGACATATATTAGAACTATTCAAAGCTAGAGATTGCATTATTACTAGTATTGAGATGATCGCAAAAGACATCTCCAGTAAATTTTTAAATATATTCCTGTATTTAAATGCAAACTTGATATTTTACAGGAAGGCGATATCGCCTTCTTTCTGCCAGGCGATATCGCTTCTGAAGAAAAAATTGTATTCTGCTTGACAAAATATATGTGACGGATATCCTCCATTTATAAGGTCCGTTCAAGTATTTCGTAAGGGATGGGGTCTCATCACTTTGCTTATTTTTGATGGCGTTTGCTTATTTTTGGTTGAGAGCTATGCATAACAAGGGGGAGGGGGAATAAAACTGCTTATGTAATACTTGAACGGCACCTAATTCAACAATGATTAATTTTCATGTCCAGCCAATTCAATTTTCATAGAATTCTAATATCATTAACTAAATTCCTTCTCCACCCTCGTTAAAAAATATACACAAATTGCAACTCTGGGTCATGGAACAAAATGTAAACAAACAAATCTCAAAATTGTCTCTTCAATTCTCTTTGAAATGAAATTCGTTCAAAGACAAACAATTGCCGAACAAATTTCATGAAAGGGAAACAAAAGTCAACAAGCAAGAGAGAGAAAGTGCATTTCTTTTTGCAACGATTATTGAGGGCAATGATGTTGATGACCCACAACAACAAAAAACGAAAGGAAAAGAAACCAACCACAAACAGCCAGCGAAAGTGTTAGACGAGTGGTTGAAAGGTGTTGGGGAGATATACTCCCAATTTATATACAGGGATAATGGATACATAACAAATCGTTTGCTAGCGGCAGGCCTAAAGAAAGCTGGATTTCACTTAGTATTTGCATTTGGCACTTTTCAATAAACCCGTATAAATAAACAAGGGTGTGTTTTTTCAAATACAATCAACATTTTCAACTTCCAAATTCATTTTTCTTGATGTTTTCCAAATTCCAGTTATATGTTTCCACTTTATTCATGCACTTTCACTTTCGCCTGTTCTTCATATCCTCCGGGAAACAGGCACCACCACTCCATCACATTTGAGTGCCTTCCATATTTACACTTACAATTTCTTTTACCGGAACTTCTTTCAATTCACACAAACTCAAATCGCAGACATTATCGTCCACTTTGTCCTTCACGTTGACTTTCTGCCCTTTTGGCATTTTGATTGAATTCAAATTTTCAATAATTAATTTTGTTGAAAATCCAATTTTATTACGAATTTCTTTTGAAGCCGAAACAAGAAATGCAGCGTCGAAGCCACCAAACCGAAACCCGATACCAAAGAGAATGCAAGTGAGAAGTTCAAGGTTTTGTTTAGGGTTGCCATGTTGTCGAGATATGACATAAATAATTATATTGTTTTGATAAGGGTTGAATTCGTATGATGAAAAAGCTTATGCATCGTTTACATCAGACATGTTAAATGGACCTTAGACTATACCATGGCCTACAAATAAGGTCACCCAGGGAGACCAGCTGGAAATCGATACCTCTCAAGTTTTCTGCCAAAATGCATTATTGTGAATTGACTTCCATTATGAAAATTTAAAGAAAGTCGACATTAGACTTGAGAAAAAACAGCCGTTTTTCGATTTGGATTGCTACCTTGGTGACCTTAGTAATAGATCTTGGACCATGCAAGGTACATATACAAAGTAGCCGCATAGGCGAATTTCTACAACAAACATCGGTTGTTGTACATATTTTGATATGTGAAAAATATTTTGACAAAACAAACAGATTCACAAGATATTTTGGCACAAATTCTTGTAAAAAATGTTAATAAAAGTATTGCCAAACAAGCTCTTCGAAATTCGCAAATTTTCATTTATAATTTTGTTTTATTTTAATTTTTTGGTTAAACATTACAACAAAATTTTTGACATTTATTTGCACCAACAGCTGGGCCGATGCGGCTACCTTATTAAATATACCTTGATACCATGGTACAATAAATAGCAGCTGATGTCTCGATTAACGGTCAAATTTCGTAATTTCTACTTCAATTCGATGTCGATGTCCTTATAATATTTCACAAGATTGGCAATATTATCTTGTGAAATATTATAAGGAAAAATTTGACAGATGGCCGATACATCGCCTTATTAAGTTCGTTCGTTTACTTTCTCAGTAACATTTACTCAGTAAGAATTTGCAGAAAGATACAATTTTTTCGTTCTCAAGAGAGAAAATTGTAAAAGTAAAAAGTTTGTATCGAAACAGCTGATTAAAATAACAAACAATTTGGCACAAAAAGACAACAGAATTTTTATTAGAAAATTGGATAAAAAGCGGAAAATTTATGTTCGTTTTCTTGTTGTTTGTTTACAAAACATAACATACCAGCTAATAAAATAAAACCTGTGGTACAAGAAAATTCTTAGTCCGCTTTTCCACAAGCAGATTTTTATTTGGCAAATTTTTTGTTTTATCTTTTGAAATTTTCGCTTGCTTTTCCATTAGCAAATTTTCTTTGCCAAATTTGCGAATCAAAATACAAAAGAATAATATTTTATTTATTTTTTATATATTTTATTATATAAATTGCAAAAATTAAAAATTAAATTTCACTTGCACAAATTAAAACAACAGGTTTGTAAACAAAAGCCGGCTGTGTGTCAGTAAAGCGAATAGGTTCAAAAGGAAATGTCAACAAAATGTTTCAACGAACAGAGCAAAGCAGAATTTGCGTGTACGGCAAATTCTGAACCCCTCGCACCCCTCTCGCCTACAAACTCAGTATTTGCCAAATAAAAATTTGCCTGTAGAAAAGCAGACTTACTGAGTAAATTTTTTCCTTGTAAGAATTTGCAAATACTCTGTAACACAACTGTCAAATCTGCTCTCTCAATTCACTCTCTTTTACTGGATTTTTGGGTTAACGAACAACACTTTGTAATAATTTGTACAAATTTGTACATTTTGTAAAAATTTGTACAAATTATTGAGTAAACGAACGAACATATTATTTCATCATGGACTATACCATGATATTTCTCATCGTTAGCAACATTGCACATTGAATTCAAGTATAAATTACGCACATTGACAGTTAATCAAATTGTCACATGTGCTAAATAGACTTCCTATTTATTGTGCCATGGACTATATCTAATAACCATGATGCAAAAATAAGGTGATGGATCAAAAGTAAAATATTTGTTTTTTCCCGACCATCTGTCTTTTTTTAGTAATATTTTTCATTAGTGGCAACATTGCACATTGACAGTTAAGCGAATAGTCAGCTGGGCTAACTGAACAATCTATTTATTCTGACATGCTCATAACCATGCTATAATTATTACAAGGTAGGGCATAACTACCAGCTATAAAATAAAAATACATATTTCTTGTGTGGATGTGTATTGTTTTGAATACCATCTGAAATAAATTCAATTTTAATTAAATATATTCAAATGTTATTAAAATGAAACCTAATTAATGAGGGCTTTCGCATGGAAGAAATTATTTAGTTATGAATGAAGAAAATATTTAGTAGTATTCCCATGGCATAATTACAGAAGGTAGAAATTAATAATGGGGACCCTTTTTAATTTGGAACTCATCTATCAATTTCAAATTTTTTGAAAATAAATTCCATAAATTGTTATGTATGTCGAATGGCATATTTAAAAAAAAATAAAAATTTATACTTTTTGTAAAAAATGTTTCTATTTTTTTATTAATATTGTTCTTTAGATATAACTACGGATATTAAACTTATATTTATAGATTATAGAGGAATGGAAAACAAAATATTAAACATGTTGTAATTATTGCAACTGGACACGTGTTGATACATTTTCATTCAGGTTTTTCAATTTTATTTTGAGGTTTCGAAAATATTTCGTTTTTAAAAATAAATAACTTTTTTGATAATTTATTTGTTTTGTTTACATATTCAATGACACTAGTATTACTTACAATAACAAATTTCCATGTGTTTGTTGTATCGTTTTTTGTACAACAACACTTGCTGTTACCTTTTGTTGTTATACCATGTCTTGTGTAATTTTGCCATGTAGTATTCCCTACTGGATTAAAAAAAATGATAACCTATCAATTATTTTTCGCGTTTTTGTTAGGTTTTTAAAAATATCAAATAAACACAACCACTTGTTGCATATATTTATTTTATATCTGACAGAACAAACCACTACATGCAGAGTTTTTTTTTTTTTTTTGTTATTCACCTCATATATTTTACCTATTTATGAAGTACAAATATATATCATTGTTCTGTACGAGTACCTTTTTAATAGGAATGTTAGTAAAAGGGAATAATGTCAATAAGTCAATCTAAGAGTACAAAATAATTCGAAAAGTTCGGGAACGGAAATCTGGTAAATATTACAAAATTAGATGACAGCAAAAATCAAAACAGTCATTTCCTGTTTACAATTTTTACTCACTTAAATCTCTAGAATAAAAAGTTTAGAAAGAGAACGCCAATTTGTTTTGTGTTTACTTAAATTTGGTTGAAATATTTACTAGTATTGTGGCTTCAAGATCGCCGTTTTATACATATACAAACGAATTGACAATTGAAACCCACTGGGTTAACGAAATCCGTATAAATGTAAACGTACTATTACTTTAGTATTAAAACGAAATTTTTACTACAGTTAAACGCATTTACAGTACGTTTACATTTAACCGGATTTCGTTAACCCAGTGGGTTTCAATTGTCATTTCCTTTGCATATATGTCAAATAAATCCTCATAAAGTAGGTTAACCCCGGTAAAAAGTTCTAATGTACAAGGAGTTTTACATAAGAACTTTTTGGCCGGCTTAACCTCTTCTATGAGGATTTATCTGATATATATGTAATGGATTTGAAATTTTAGAACTACTGGACTTAATAAATCCGGTACAACGTATACCACAAAAATAAATAATGTTAATTTAAAATAAACTGTTGTTCCCGAAGGTCGATTTTATTTTTTATTTAATTCATTTATTTTAATTAAAAGGAATTTGGTCCATAAATTACAAATGATCTGTTCCATAACCAGCTAGGATTTTCTATTATTCTAAATTGTTTTCAATTTTCCTTTATAAATTTTAAATGTTTGTATCCTTTTGATGTTATCAACTCAGAGCCCCATATCTCGCAAAGTATGGATTTGTATTTTCTCACGCCTTTTAAATGTCACTAATATGGCTATAAGTGTAGCCATGTAGGAACCCTTTTAAAATACTCTAAATAAATGTAATTTTCTTATTAAAAAAGTCCATACTTCCAGAGATATGGGTCTCTTCAAAATTCCGTAAGTACTTTTCATGTTATTATCATTTTAAAGGGGATTTATTTATAACTAAATTTATTATGGCACAATGTTTATTAAGGGAAGATTCTTTCGCATAGCCGGAATTGGAATCTTCTATAGCAAGAAGTATTAAATTAACTGCCGGAGACCAGCCACTGACCAATAATATTCTAATTAAAAGTATTCAACTTGTCTAAATTGATAACCATAATGACCTAGTAAATATTTATAAGCAGGGAAAACAAAAGTATCCCAAAGGGAATTTGGGACCATAATCGGTAAATATGGATTTCCGCAAGAAAAAAATTATATCGTTATAATCGGGGCTTCAAGAACTACCTATGGTCAAAATTTCTAAACGATGCACCACTGGGCTCTAAACAAGATTTGTTCCCAAATTAGCTCGATTATTCTCCCTTCATAGTATGAAAAAATGCAGTGTTTTACAATTTAAAATATTATTTATTTGCTTTTTCTAATCATCATGTAAAAAAACAAGCAAACAAATAAACTTTGTTTTAGGTCCTTAGGCAAAAAGTTGAAGATAATTTCACATTTCCAGTAGTTTAATCTTCTTCTTCTTCGGCACCACCAGAACCACCTTGGTTCTTCTTCATGTTCTTCCTCTTCACGCGACCAGGGCGGCCGCCACCGAAGGGCGACTTCAAGGAGAAGTCAATGTGTTTTTGGGAATCCAAACGGACCACAAATGAGGGAATGTTGACCACCTGTTTGCGGACGCTGTAAATAGAAAATAAATTTATTAGTAACATTTATTTTACAGAAATTTGCTATAGAAAAGGAGGTTCTTTAAGAGCTTCTTTTTCTGGTTCAGTTTGTTGTAGTTCGTTTTGAGTTTTGTTTTCCAACTTACTCGGCTGAGTGTTTAGGCTGGACCTAAACTCAATTGGTTCCTGTACCCCTTGTATAATACACATACACTGTGGGGCCATTCGGAAACCAATACCAAAAGACGTTGAGAGCCGGTACAAAATACCCCATACCTCCAAACTCAGGGTAAATTGTTCGACTCCCAAGTGGTCTTACTGAACACTTTTTTTGCAAGTAATTTATGAAATAACACACATGGGCATCAATGAAAAGTATTAAGCTGTCCATAAAAAAGGCTGCAAACACTTTTTCTGTCCATCATTTTTCAGTCAGAATCAAGAATATTTACCGAATGTGACGTTGACGGATCAAGACACGGGCATGATGGATGGATTTGGCCAATCCCAATTTGAAGACTTGGGTTTGGAGACGACGTTCCAAGAAATCTTCGATTTTCAAGCCCAAAACGTAATCGAGCTTCATGCGGGATTCATCCAACACACCGATACGAACCAAACGACGCAACAAAGCGTTACCTAAAATGGAAAAAAGAAACACCATTAGTAAAAGTTGTTCTATAATATAATACAAATATGTATATAAAACATGTGTCAGCGTGTTAATATCGTCAATAAGTTTTGATTCAGACAAGAAGTGTCAGATAAATTATTAAATACAAAATCATCATTGCCAAGCAATCTCAAACATTATGGCGAAGGCATCTTCGTTCTCCTTACCTTGGAACAATCTCTTTTCGTCTTTCTCTTCCAAAGTCAACAATTCACGAGCAGCCTTACGGATTTTAGCCAAGGCATACTTGACACGCCAGACCTCACGCTTGTTGCGGAGACCATATTCACCAATGATCTTCAATTCCTGGTCCAAGCGGGCCTTCTCATAAGGACGGCGAGGAGTGACATAGGTCTTCGAAAAGACCGAAGGGATACGTCCGTTCACCATGCTGCTATCAACTCAAGCCGAATACTGTAAACAAACAAAAATTGAGGTTAACATTTGAATCCACAAATATCTTCGACATCTTTAGTAATTTCCAATAGGTATTCAACACAAAATATAAAGCACTTCAAACACTTTAATGTTTCATATCTATTAATTGGAAAATTGGTTTTTATATTAATGTTTTTTCACATTAAATTTAGTTAAAAATTCGTACGTACATTCGGTTTGACGATTCAACAAAGAAAGAAGGAAAGTGGCAAATAGGGATAGCCAGGCCGATTTATAGCGTATCGATTAATCGTTTCATTGTTCGAAAAATCGATTTTTTGATTGCAATGTGATTATTGAATTTTAAAGCGGTGTACACACAATGGTACAGAAAAGTACGGTTATAGCAAACTAGGGGGGGACCAAACAAATTATTTCGTCATATCTTGGTGGTGGCGCTGTTAACACTCGACAATCGGGAGGCGGGCCAATAACTTAAAACACAAAAAAAAAAAAAATATTTCGTCATATCCAAGGTAAGGCAAATCTAAACATGGCAGAAAAAATATATACATTTAAAAATTTGTATATTATTGGTCAGTTCCCGTATTGCAAGAATCTACTACTTTAAGCGGTGTACACACTATCATTTTTGAATGACAATCTTGCTGAAATATCGGTTTGCTTGCCAGTGTGGCCGTTAATTTCTCTCAGTCATCAGGCAACCACAAAAAAAATTATGGTTGCGTGACATTCAGATGTTGGATGTTTGTTGGTTCGATAATGTGAACATAAAAAACGACCGTCAGACAATAAATTTCAACAATAACATGGACTCCGAAAACGAATTTTTAAAAGAATTCCTATGTTGCTATGAAATGCAACGATGTATCTGGGACATAACCAGTCCAGAGTATCTGTCACGCGACTTTAAAATGAAATCGTTTGGAGAACTGCTACATAAATTGAAACAGAAACTTCTGGAGCGGACAATATTTACCAGGCGAAGATTTGGTGGTTTGAGTCGTGCAAGTTTCTCCAGGGCTATGAGAAACCAACCGATAGCATATCAACACTGAAGAGCTGCAATGGCCCAAGAACAAGAAACATGTCAACAATGGCTATCGCCTGGAGAAACAAATGCGCTACAGCTGTACCAAGAAAATACGTCTGCAATGGGCCAAGAACAAGAAACATGTCAACAATGGCTATCGCCTGGAGAAACAAATGCGCTACAGCCGTACCAAGAAAATGCCTTTGGAATTCACCGCTGCCGATCGTATCTACTTCGATAAGTCCATCAATTTGGCTGCCGAAGAGGGGCGCATGGAAATCAATAACTGGATTGCCAATGTAACACGCAACGAAATCCCCGAAATGTTAAATCCCTGTGATGTTACCTCCGACAGTCAAATGGTTTTAGCTAATGCTGCCTATTTCAAGGTTCAATGGTCGGATAAATTCGATGCCAAAGATACAAAACAGGAGATTTTCTGTTTTTTTGTTTATTCTTCTTCTTTCAATTTAATTTCTACTGCTGTTGTTGGTGCTAATACTACGACATTTGCCCTATTCTCTCTGTCTATTGTTTTATTTATAAAAAATGAGGACGTGCTTAATTTTCGTTTTATATGTTTTATTTTTTAATATTATTTTATTATTTTTTGTTTTATTTGTTTTTCTGTTTATTTCGAATAAATTATAATAATAACAACAATGACCGTTGGGGTAATTTATACAACAACAAAATGAAAAAAGGAGGTAGATACATGGTTCTTTTTGAAAACATGCACAGAATCACTTTCTGAGTAGATTTATGCATATCCGTCGTCTGTTGATGTTAAATTGTAAACAAAGTACGGGTCACATTTATGATCCAAATGACAATTTTGAAAAAAAAAAATTGTGAGACCTAGATTTCATTAAAAAACCAATAAAACTTCAAAGCCTGTTTTTGATTATTATTATTAAAAATTCACATCCAATTTTTTTATCATCTATTTTTATTAATATATTTCTTTTATACGGCGTCTTATTAGCACAATTTATAAATTTGAATGTCGGTTTGAAAAAAGGCATGAATGATAATATGGCCGCTACAAACAACAAAACTGTAATAACCGATAAGTTATCGAAACTGTTACTTAAAAATGATAGTTGGTCTGTTCCCGTACTGCAAGAATCTACTCGATTTTACTATTTTCTTCGATATCATAAAGGAAAAATGTGTTATCGGAGTAAAAAATTCTTGCAGTACGGGAACATACCAAGTGTGTACACCGCTTTACTATTTTGTCCGATAACATGAAGGAACATTTTTTATTGTAGTAAAAAGTAATAGATTCTTGTTATATGGGAACAGACCATACATCTGTTCCAGAACCCGCAAGAATGTACACATTTTTACAATAATATCCATGGCATAATTACAGAAGGTAGTCTAATTTGAGAATTGTATGATGGCAACCCCTTTAAAATTTGGAACTCATATATTAATTTGAAATAATATAAAAAATAAATTCCTTAAATTTTATGTATGTCGATTGGCATATTTTGTTAATTGGACATTGGTCTCAAGATTTAACCATGGATGTTACAACTTATATTTATTAGTTTTAGTAGGGAACTTCAGGGAACTTCAAAATATTTATAAATATAAATTATTTAGAAATAATTTGTTCCAGATATAGCAAAAAAAAAAAAAAAATCATGATATTCCACACTGTATTTTGAGAAATAAATCATAACCTCTCATTAATTTTTCGTATTTTTAGTTATGTGTTGTAAAAATGTCAAATAAGCACAAACATTTGTTGCATATATTTATTTTTTGGCAGAAGAAGCCACACGTGTATAGTTGCTTTTTTGTTATTCACGTCAAGCAGCCCTACCTTGTATTATTGTACCATGCATAGGACATCGGCTTTCCAGTCATTGTAGGCAGCAACCATTATACGAAACATATAATCACCGACACCAAGAAATAACAATTTAAGCATGTTTATATCCAATACTGCGTTCTTGGCTATAATGTCATACTAAAAATAAAAAATAACAGTTTAATAAAAGCAAAACAAAGATTTAATAATAAATCTTAAACGGCACATACAGTAGAACTTTTTACCGGGTTAATCTACTTTATGAGGATTTATTTGACATATATGAAAAGAAATTGACAATTTAAACCCACTGGTTTAACCAAATCCGGTTAAATGTAAAGCGACTAATCTACGGCGCATTAACTTTAAATTACATTCTTCAAATGCGGAAAACGATTTGGGTTGTTGACATAGTACTTGCTTTACTTGCTATTGGATCACTCGAAAGACTGTCGATCGGACTCAGTCGCTTGTGTTAAAACAATTGGAATATTTGTAAATTACATTTGTTTAGTAAACTATTCCATCTGTTCGAATATTTAATTTAAATTTTACTGCTATTAAATATCAATTTGACTTCAAAGTAAAAGGTTAATTTAGTCGGTAATGTGATGAAGGCTATGTAAACACCATGTTAATTTCGGTATGTTCGAATTTAGGGATCAGGTGTAAATCAAGAAAAAATTGTGGAAAGTTTGAGATCATAATATTTAAGATGAGGTGTGAAATTGTAAAAATCTATACCAGTCGCCCTATACTTATGAAGATACGGCTCCTGGAGGAGTGCAATGACGATGTAGGATAAGGCAGCTGCTGTACCACGCTTTGAGCGCGTTTATACTACTAAATCCACTCAATTCCACAGCGTATACGTCACCTTAATCATGTTCACAAATTCACTGGATTATATTTGATGTATACGCTATGGAATTTATATCGTTCAACTCTTGCTTCTACATTCAGAAGGAGCAATTGTTATTTCGGCAACCCGTAAAGCAACTCACCCTTGTTCCCTTGAACAGGTAGTTTTTTTCCGGCAGAGTCCGTGGCGAACTTAACGACAATGCCGAATTCTTCCCACTGATGTTACCACAACATTTCGTGGACCGCGACTGCCGCCAGATTTGTATCTTAACAAAGGCGTCCAATGTTATTAATGGATTTCTTATGGAAGTATAAAGACTCCTTAGTTAATGACCTTGATTCATTTGAACAAGATGACCTGATCAAACCGAATGTTCCGACAATCAACTTCGTGGTTGAGGAAAAGGTCCTTCAGATACCTATAGACTCAATCAATGATGGTTGATTGGTTTTGTGGTTGAACATCACCATGGTTGATGCTCACTTGAGAATTTTATCCTCTTTACAGCCACTGGTTGTGTTAAATTTTTGGACTGGGTTGTTGTTCAGAAGGTGATTGCGCCCTGGCAGCCTTTCAAAAGTCTTTCTATGGGTTCTCATTCTAGCTGACTACGACAATTTAAGGACTTCGCAACTTTCAGGGTCCTCTTCGAAGATCCTGATTGATTAAAAGACCCTGGCATCATTTTCATAGTTTTTTCCTTAGTTGGAGGGGTAACCAAAGCCACTTCGATCCATACTTCCGTATTGTTATTTGGATAGTTCCATGATAACTTTCCAATTAATTATACCCTTCACCACACTGTGGTACTGGGTATAATGTCTTTGCGCATATGTTTGTTTGAGAATATGCATATAATCACTTTCTGAGTCGATTTATGCATGTCCGTCTGTCCGTCCGTCTGTCCATGTATTTTTGTTAACAAAGTACAGGTCCCATTTATGATCCGATTTGGATGAAATTTGGCACAGGTCACTTAATTGGCCCAAGGGCCAAAATTTTCGGTATTTTGAGGTTCTTGAGCGCGTTTTTTAACTGAATTCGCTGAAATTTGGTACTTTGAGTTCTTATTGGGTAGCAAATCTCCCTACCAAAAATTATAAATAAAGGTCAATTTTTTCGGATAGCCCCATATAAGATTACCCCCAATTTTCGGTATTTTGGGGGTTTTGATCGCATTTTTCGACCGAATTCGCTGAAATTTGGTACTTTGTGTTCTTATTGGGTAGCAAATCTCCATACCAAACATTATAAATAAAGGTCAATTTTTTCGGAAAGCCCCCATATAAGGGTACCCCCAATTTTCGGTATTTTCGGGTTCTTGGGCTCGTTTTATAACTGAATTCTTTGAAATGTTGTACATTGGGTTCTTATTGGGTACCAAATTACTCCACTAAAAATTATAAATATAGGTCCAGTTTTTCTGGTAGTCCCCATATAACGGTACCCCCAAATTTTTGGTATTTTGGGGGTTCTGATCGTATTTTTCGACCAAATTGACTGTAATTTAGTATGTCGAGTTCTTAATAGGTAGTACATCTCTTCACTATAAATTATAAATATTGGTCAATTTTTTCTGGTAGCCCCCAGGTTTTGAGGTTCTTGAACCAAATTCTTTTTTCTGGTACATGTATTATGTCTTTGTGCATATGTTTGTAAGAGGCAAAAGGAAACGAGACAGACACATGGTTCCGCTTGAGAATATGCATAGAATCACTTTTTGAGTCGATTAAAGCACGAAATTTGGCACAGCGTAACAAATTAGGTCTTGAATGATGTGTGTTAAGTTTCCTGAATCCTGAAGATATGGCCAAATGAACAATTTAGTATCGGTTGCAGAATGACCTGTTTATGGTTCCAATTTCATTTTACTGGTCTATCGCGTTGATGGGAGGGTCATCAGCACCAAAACCCACTTCAACGACCATTTGCATATGAAGTCTCCAACTTCCACTGCCCGCCATGTAGAAGGGACTTAAGGAGTGCACTGTGAACAAAATAAAAAATTTTCAGACAAAAAATCCGCATTTATATTATTAGAATCGTAGTTTTGTTACGATCCCCCTTATGCGGCACTGTAATCCATTATGTCCAACTAGCTCAGGCTGGCATTTTTGCCCCAGGTCGGTTCCAACCCTGAAACCACCCTGAGATTGGCATCACTATTTAATGAAGTTGTCTGCACCACAACCTGGTTCCGCTATTTTTTTCATTAAAATCAATTTTAATATTGTTTTGGAATACGCAACAGCTTTCTAATTATATATAGTTTATTAAGATCAGTTAAAAAATGTTTTCTGTTGTATTATTATCCGTTGAATAATATTGAAAATTGTGTTCAATAAATGCAAATTCTTCTAATAAAAAGTTTCTGTGACAGGATCGGATAAGAACAATGGTTTACTAAATGCCTTCTCGCACACAGTGAATTTTTCGATGTCCCTCCTCAAAATTTTGTTGCACAGTTCGTTTTTATTGATGTTTTCGACTAATTGTAAATACTAAAATAATATTTAATTTCAGCTTTCCAATTATTGTAGGCAGCAACCATTAGACGAAACATATAATCTCCATAGCCTAAAGGTAGCAATTTGAAAAGGTTTTTATCCAAAACTAGATTTTCAGCAATGATATCGTGCTGAAAATAAACGGAAATGTGTAATTAGAAATTAATAATAATAATAAATAAAATTAATTGAAAAAAAAAAACAAAAAGGTAAGCTAGATCACTTTCGACCAGACCGAAATGTTGGTAGTTTCGTGAAAAAAGCAAGGATTTCCCCCTCAAATCACCTTATCAAAGTACTCACATCGTATGGACAGCTATGATTTATATTCGTATCTTTCAGCAAATATTTGGCTAAAATATCCAAAATCGGATATTTTTCACGATTCTTCATAAAATTGCAAAAATCTGCTGATGTATTGTATACGTACGGTTGATAGCCATTCGATTTTTTAAAGAATGCTACATTAACCTAAAAAACAAGAACATAATATTTATTTGTGCTAAAATATTTTAAAATTATACTTGCCGAAACATTCGTCACTGGAATTTTTAGCAATTTTGTGGTGATATTTAGACCGACAACTCCGCGTCGTATTAATTTCAAATTACATTTTTCAAATGTGGAAAATGACATATCGAGAGATTTACATTTTAGGTTTGTAAATCGGACATTAGCGGCAGCAAATGCTGTCAGCACTGTCAGCCACACAGAGATGTAACACACGATGAATGTATTGGGCATTGATTCGAATGCTACTGAACTGAAAACAATTATACAGACTGACTAAATATTTATATAAATTATTTTCAATTTGTAATTATAAAACAATTTATTATTTTAATTTTTAGGGTGAAATGAATTTCTTTTTGAAAATTGTGTGAATCATTGGTATTGCAAATGGAGTATATCGGTCAACGTTTGGTCACTTAAAAAGGTATCACACCATTTTCTGTATTTTGAAGGTCTTAGCCGAATGTGTATACTTCGAAAAACGGATAAGAGCTAACGAATCATTGTGCATAATAACAATGCGAGTCATTACATATCGGTACAGACAAGCGTCTTTTTGGCCAGCCAAAAAACGTGGAATGGATGGGTCATCCGCCATGCAGCCCTGTCACCTGACTTCTCTGGCCAAGAAAAAGCATGACCAGAAGATGATGTTAAGGTTTTCGGAAAACATATTCTGGTGTTGTCCCAATCGAAGTAGAAAGATATAATTTTTTGATGATATATACAAGCATTCTCGATACTATGCCAGAAATATATATATATATGATATATGACGCACACTATGGGAAAAATCTTCACAGATTAAATTCTATTATTAGAACAAATAGTTTATTGATATGTATTTTGTGTTTGGGATTAGGCTAAGCAAGAGTTGTTTAATTAGAACCTAAGGATAAATAATTTACAATAAAATTATTGGCTTACAACCACTCAAATTTTGGTCGGGGTCACCGTGTCGTGTCATCTTAATGTATTATACAGGCGAGCTGCGGCTGTCTGTATATTTTTAATACGCACTGTGTGTTGAATTTTA